ATCCAGAAGTGAAATGGTGCCTTCTGCCTCCTAGTTGCATAAGTAAAGATGTGGGATAGGCCAGATTTTTCTTAATGGGTCTGCCTCTTCAAGGCCTTAAGGTCTCACAAGTAAATGTACATACAGTATAAGACATTTGTAAACACACAATATTGACCCAATCTTTTGGGCTTTCATTTTATGATTACTGAGTTTTCCTATAAGATTTCTTTCCCCTCTGTAGATTCTCCAGGGAGAGAAGGAACATTCTTCATTCTTCTAGCCTCTTTAAAAGAAGACCTCCTTGTTGCAAAGAGGATCTTTTGGTTATTGGTGACAAAAATTAATTATCAGAAAGCTATGGTCAAGATGGACGCATAGGTAGACATGTTTTGCCTCCTCACATAACCACAAGAAGAATTACAACTAACCTCAAAACCAAAAACACCCAGAACTGCCAGAAAATCGTACTGTGTGGAAGTCCAGCAACCAAGGATTTAAAGAAGCCACATTCACTCAGAAGACAGATAGGAAGGGTGGAGTTGTGGAGTCCAGCAGAGAGGCAGCAGAGGTGATGGTAGCAGAACAGGTGGTCCCACATTCACATGTGGTGGATAAAAATCAGGAGGGATACTTGAGAGTGAGCAATCCCAGCCTCAGGCCAAACCATGCAGCCCAGGGGTCCAGCATGGGGAAGATAAAACCCATCGCCACTGGCTTTAAAATCCAGTGGGGGTTGGGTGGTAGAATAAACTACTGGTTTCTCGTGAGTCCATTTAAAGGCCCCACATGGGCTTAGAATGTATGCAAATCCACCCATTCTTGGAATCACCACCAGGGCAACTGCTGAAAGGGTGCTAGTCACATACAGAAAGTGGGTGAAGTGACGGGGAGTTGGGCAAACCTACAGAAGCCAGTGAGTGGCACTGTCCACTCTCCAACCCCTTCCTTGACACAGAGCCATAGAGTAGTGAAGCAGGTGGCCCTTCTTTGACAAATACCTAAGGCTCATCCCCATACAACTTAATAGTTGTGCTAAGACAGGGAGTCAAGTCAAAGCAGCTCTCCTAATACACAGAAACTATCACAGGGAGGTTGCCAAATTGAGGAGACAAAGAAATATGGCTCAAATGAGAGGACAGAACAAAACCACAGAAAAAGAACTAAATGAAAGGGATATAGCCAACCTGTCAGATGCAGAATTCAAAACACTGGTGATCAGAATGCTCAGAGAACTTACTGAGTATGGTGAAAACATTAGGGAAGAAATGAAGGTTATACTGAGTGAAATAAAGAAATATCCACAGGGAACCAACAGTGAAGGGAAGGAAGCTGGAATTCAAATCAATGATTTGAAACACAAGGAAGGGATAAACATGCAACCAGAACATAAAGAAGAAACAAGAATTCAAAAAAAATGAGGAAAGTAAAAGAAGACTCTGGAACATCTCCAAAAGTGCCAATATCTTAATCATAGGGATGCCAGAAGGAGAAGAGGAAGAGCAAGAACTGGAAAACTTATTTGAAAAAACAATGAAAGAAAATTTCCTTAATTTATTGAAGGAAATAGACATGCAAGTCCAGGAAACACAGACAATCCCAAACAAGTTGGACACAAAGAAGACTACAACAAGACACATCATAATTATATTGCCAAAGTTTAAAGATAAAGAGAGAATCTTAAAAGCAGCAGGAGAAAAGCAGAAAGTTACCTACAAAGGAGTTCCCATAAGACTATCAGCTGATTTCTCAAAAGAAACTTTGCAGGCTATAGGGACTGACAAGAAGTATTCAAAGTGATGAAAAGCAAGGACCTATAACCAAGATTACTCTATCCAGCAAAGCTATCATTTAGAATGGAAGAGCAGGTAAAATGTTTCCCAGACAAGGTAAAAAGCTAAAGGAGTTCCTCATCACCAAGCTGTTATTACATGAAATGTTAAAGGGCTTATTTAAGAAAAAGAAGATCAAAACTATCAACATTAAAAAGGCAACAAATTCACAGCTATCCAAACAACTGAATCTAAAAAAACAAGAACAAAAACAAAAACAAAAAAAACTAAGCAAACAAGCAGAACAGGAACAGAATCAGATATGGAGATCATTTTGAGGGTAATCACTGGGGAGGGGGAAGGAGAAGAATGGTGAGAAAGGTGCAGGGATTAAGAAACATAATTGATAGGTACAGAATAGACAGGTAGATGTTAAAAATAGCATAGGAAATGGAGAAGCCAAAGAACTTATATGCATAACCCATGGACATGAACTAAGGGTGGGACTGCTGGAGGGAATGGGGGTACTGGGTAAAGGGGGAAGAATTAGGACAACTGTAATATATAATCAATAAAATATACTTAGAAATTATCAGAAAGCTAACTTTTTAAAGCAAAAATTTCATGTTGGAAGGAGAAAATATATAATCTCAAGCCATAGAACATATAAGGTTAATGGCAAATTTGCTTCAAGGACAGTAATATGAAAAGCAAAATTGTTAAGTCTTCTGAGGAACTAATTGAGCACATTGTTCCCTTGTTTATAGAAAATTAAAGTGAGCCTTTTAGAAATGCTGAAAAGATGTCCCTGGCACACTCTCAGTTTACTTTGTAAATGTGTGTTCCTTCTTTCCTGTGGTTCCAGAGGCAGTGGCCTGCACTGAGGATGAAGGTTACTGGTGGCTTTCTGGAGTCTCCTAATGGAGGGCTCAGTGTCTTTCCAAATGACAGATGGTTCCCTCTGCTTGTTGAATTTAAATTCAGCCTTCTAAGGGGAGCCAATGTGGGAGGAATCACCATCAGCTTCACTGATGATTAAAGCATGGTTTTGACTTTCATCCTCAAAAAACTAACCTGTGACCAGTTGAAGTGCAGTAAAGAACTAGTGATGGCCTTTCTTCCTTCCTCCCTCTCCCCCTCCCTCCAACCACTGCAATAGCTCTGACCTTGTCTCCCATTACTCTCCTCCCTCTGCATCACCACACTGGCCTCCAGGCTGTGCTGTTTTTCTAACACCAAGCATTCTCCTGCCTTGGACCCTTGCGTCTTCTGTTCCCTCTGCCTGGATTTTTTTTATCCAGACCCATCTTCTACATATCATTGAGGTCTTTCCTGAAACATTATACTTTCAGTGAGATCTTTCCTGATCTCCTTGCTTAAAAATGCTACAATTTTCCCAAACTCACTATATTATTCCACCAGGGCTGCCATAACAAAGAACCACAACACAGGTGATTTAAGATCACAGAAATTTATTGTCTCGCAGTTCTGGAAGTCTAAATCCATGCTCTCTCTGAAACCTGCAGGGCATCCTTTCTTGCCTCCTTCTGGCTTCTGTGGAGTGCTGGCAGCCCTTGGCCTTCCTTGGCCTGCAGCTGCATAACTTGTCTCTGCCTTTGTCATCATGTGGCATTCGCCATGCATGTGTCTGTTGTCACATGGCCCTCTTCTTATAAAGACACCAGTCATACTAGAGTAACTGCTGGTTCTGCTGCTCACCTTAAGTAATTATGTCAGTTATGATCCTATTTCCAAAAAAGGTCACATTCTGAGATATTGATGGCTAGGACTTCAATGTTTCTTTTTGGGGGGAAAGGGCCATAATTCAACTCATAACACTCCTCATCATTTTCTTTCCCACTCTGTGTTTCTCCAGAGCATGTAGCACGATTTAACCAATAACAAATATTACATTTTTATTAAGTTCATTGTCTATCTTCCCAACCAAAATGGGGGCATCATGAAGGTAGGATTTGGGGTTGTTATGTTCACTACTGTAGACAGCAGTCCTGATGCCTTAGTAGAAACTCAATAAATATTTTCTGAATGAATGATTATCTGTGTTCAATTATTGTACTGAGCAGACAATACAGAATGATATGGACAAAAACATTAGACAAAGAAAGAAAATAATTACCTTTAAACAAAATCGCAAGAAGTAAATAGGTGCTTATTATTACCATATTTTTATTTGAAAGAAGGTCAGAAGGTCATATGAAGGGAAAACAAAGGTAGAGGCCAGAACAGAAGGGCCGACCAGCAGGAGGAATATATTGTACACTGTTATTGAGTGTTTTATGGATAGTGAGGTCTCTCTGGTCTCCTTGTCACTTTTTGTAAGTGGAATTTAACCCTGAAAGTAAGGTGGGGCACAGGGCTCTCACTTTGCCTGAGCATCTTATGTGTGCTAGGAACTGGAACTATGCTTGGTACTAATCCTTATTTTTTTATAAATCCTCTTTTAAAAAAAAAAAGATTTTAATTATTTATTTCTAGACACAGGGGAAGGGAGAAAGAGAGGGACAGAAGCATCAGTGTGTGGTTGCCTTTTGCATGCCCCCTACTGGGGACCTGGCCCACAGCCCAGGAATGTGCCCTGACTGGGAATTGAACCAATGACCCTTTGGTTTGCAGGTCAGCTTTTAATCCACTGAGCCACACCAGCCAGGGATAAAAAAATTATCCTCTTGATAGATATACCCCTCAGATATCATCATGCCCATTTGACAGAGGTGGAAAGTGTGTACGATAAGAGGTGGGAAGTTTTGTGGTCATTAGGGTTTCAGAGAAAAGGCAAGTAAAGTGACCCACAAAACACTGTTTAGATAGATGATTAGGCACAGACCACTTCAGAACCAGAGAAGTACTCTTCCTTCTAGACTCATGCGTGGGTCAGCCTCATCTTTTTGCAAAATAGAAAGTTCCAGTGCCAGGACTGGTTAGCTCCTGAGATTGGTTAAATAGTTCGGGTAGAACAGTCCTAGAATAAAAATGAGGAGTTGGAGAGAACAGGCACCATTCTGTCCTTTCTGTATGTGATCTTGTGTGATTCACTTAAGCCACTCTTGAATTTATGCAGAGTAATGATAATACCTACAGAAATCATAGGAGTGCCTTTATTCTATCTTTTTAACAACACCATTGCAGTCAGCTAACTCAGTATTCATGGTGAGTGTTCCTAATGAAGTTGTACCTAGAAGCTATTCAGATCACTGCTGAAATCATCTGTATCTCTTGTTTTTGGTGTAGGTATCCCAAATCGCCTGCCTGCCTAGACCCTGGGTAAAAGCCTTGTGCATCCTGCCACTGAGCACTGAGGAGGTAACAGTCATCGGAGAGGTAGTGTTTACTTAATTTAAATTTTTTAAATTGTTATAATTGACCTACTATGGGCATCCTTATGATAGTACATATAAAATAGAACTTTTAAAATTGTAAAATGTCAGGGCTCAATTCCTTTTGAGAATTTACCCTCTCTCGACTTCTATTTGTAACTGCCTTTTGAAAATTGGAGTATAAATATTATGTCAGTTAAATAAAGGAGTGATGACTTCATTTTTTAAAGAAAGCATTATGTTTTTTTCCCTGTGAAATGTAGTTTAACTTTTACCTGATTGACATGCTATTATATTATTCTCACCCCACTAGACAGTTACACATGTTTCATAATTTTTATGTGTAAGGAGTAAGGTTAAGCAGTTACACATTCAGGTTTGTTATGCATTGCATGGCTTTGAGAATTATTGTGGAATTGGAATGAAATTAGTAGCAGCAGGAGGATGCTTCTGATATGAAACATATCTCTTAAAATGGCATGGGACTGTTGCTGGTCAGAGTTAAGTCCTTGTGATGTACATCAGGTCCAATGAAGGATAAATCTTGTGAAAAGTCTTGAAGAGAGGGCAAAATAGTCACTTACCTACCTTCATATGTCTTTGAATAGTTACACTGGCTTGTTTGAGTATGCATTCAAAAAAATCACAAGAAAGGAGGAAAAATGAGCTAATGTGGTAAAATTTCCTCATAATGTTGTCAGTAGAATGTATTTCTTTAACTCCTAGAACTCATGGTTTAACTCCTAGAACTCCTAGAATAGCATGTTGTCAGTGGAATGTATTTCTTTAACTCCTAGAACTCATGTTTATATATACATATATTCCTCTCTTTTTTCTACCACCCTTTTTCATCTTTACTCCCTTAAAAATGTTTCCCATTATGAAGTCTTCCCAAACAATTTAACAGATTTAATAAATACAGATATTGAAAAGCTCCACATGCCAGAATACAAAGATACTATGTGTATTTGTTTTGTTGCTTGCAGTCAAGACTCTGTCTCCAGTTTCCACTTTAGGTTGTATCTCTACTATATGTGGACTCTGCGTTCCTTTCAGTCCCATTCCATAGTCACTTGAACCCCATGAGTTAGGCAGGATTGCCCCTAAAATTTGTGGGACTGTGAGGCATTGCTGCATCTTCTAGATGAGAAGTACCCACCAAATGCAGATGTGGTGGGATGAGGCAGGCCTCTTCGCTTCTTCATGTGCCCAATTTCTCTCTGGTGAATCACCTGCCCGATTAGTATTTATCTGGAAAACAGAGAAGGTTTAGGGTCAGTAAATGAGGTGAAATAGAGCACTGGTATTACATGCCTCTTTGCATGTCTCTATGCGTCTTTGCTAGAATCATTTGATCCTTGTGTTATTGCTGTAGATAGTGCTTTTAAGCCATGAAGCAAGGCTTTCTTTTGTTGTTTGTTTGTTTGTTTCTGAATTGTAAAGCTATTAATAAAAATATATATCAGAAAGAGGGGCATTTTAATATAAGTGATTAATGGAAAGAGGAATTATAGAATATAACTTCAAGTGTTAAAATACTCACTTATTCCTCCTTGCTTGGAAAGACTTTCTTCTTTATTTCTGAAGTAAAGGGCTTGTCTTTCCTAATGCCAGATACACACTCTTTGCTGTTTATCCTCTTTAAGGTGACTGACTTGGATTTCTTCTGTTTGCTGTGTGATCTCAGTTAACTTACTTAACCTCTCTGAATTCTGGTCTTGTCATCCATAACATAAGGCTAATTATAGGAGCTACCTCCTACAATGGGTATGAAGGATTAAATGACAATTTATATAAAATGATTAGCAAAGTGCCTGGCATGTAAAACCCCTAAAGAATTGGTAGCCATAGGAATATTATTAGAAGGAAATGTGCAATTATCAACTCTGTGTTGGTATTTAAAGATATTATTTTTAATATTCTACTTTTCTTAGGATATTACCTATTGCAGTTTTCAATGAGGCAGGATATAGAGATATTCTAGAATGAAAAATATATAAGGTAAAATAAATAACATGACAAAGTTCCAGGTAGATAATCTTTTGTAGCCATGATCCTGTACAAGCCTCATTGCTTTAAGATGAAATGCTGCCAGTTTGGGAGCAAGATCTAATTGCTGTTTTATCATTTAACTTTATGCTGTGCTTTCATTCCAAATCTTTTCAAATGCTTGGCAAGATAATCAAGGAAGCTCTAAGTTTGACTGAAATTGTTACTTAAAACAAAAACCAAGTATCACTAGATGAAGTTATGGGTAGAGGTTAAGTATTTCAAATAGAGGAACTAGGAGAAGCAAAGGAACGCTTTCTAAATGTTTGTACTTGTTTTCACTTCTAGTTTGGCTCTACTGAACCTGACATTCTCACAGGTGACAGCTATAAAGTATGAGGGGAAAAAACTACCTGATGGCATTTGACAGTAAAAATAAGCAAGCAGCTTCTAGAGGGTAACTGAAACTTAAAACTTGGACGCAGGGACCAGTGCAGAGTGAGTTCCCCATTTTACAACTTTTAAACTAAAGACAGGCTGAAGTTAACATGACTTGGGGTGGCTAACTCCAGTAGAAAAGCCACAGTCTTTTGGTTTGAAAACCCAAAGAACAGAATTCAGGTAGCCACAATCATTGGGAAATGAAGCCAGAATCCTGGAAAAGAAAGAGGCAGACAGGGGAATCTCACGATTCTTTGTGTAAACACTGCCCACGTTTTTGACGGACCCTTAAAGCACACATGCAAGGAGCAGACACACACAACACAGCTAAAGATAAAAGAACTGAAATGAGATTTGAGCTGCCAACCAACAGAGATTTTTCAATTTGCATATAACCAAATTAGTTGCCCACTAAAACAAATAAATCAATGTTCTTCAAAGATCTCTAATAGGCTTCACACCATAATATTCATATGCATACAGTTACATGATACAACCCCAAGTTACATAGCATACAAAGAACTGAGAAAATGTAAAACCCTTGTGAATTGAAAAGACAATCTTTTGGGACTAATTCCATGGTCATCCAGGTATGTGATTTAGCAAAGATTTTAAAGAAGCTGTTATAATAATACTCAGTGAAGGACAGAAAAATACACTCACTGTGAATAAAAACATAGCAACTAGAAACACAGAAAGAACCAAATTGTAATTCTATGACTGAAAAATATATTTGAAATAAAAATTCACTGAGTGAACTTATATCAGAAGTAACAGAGGAAGGTGTCAGTGAACCTAAAGATAGATCAGTAGAAATTTTGTTTCTAAAGAAAAGCGGATTTAGAATACTGAACAGAAAAAAATATATAGGCAGAGCCTCAGGGGCCTGTGTAACAAAAATTAAAATGCCTAATACATATGTAATTGGATTCTCAGAAGGAGAGGAGAAAGAGAATGAGACAAAAATATTTGAAGAAATAATGGCTAAAGATTTTCACATTCAGAGAGTTACATAAATTTATAGATCTAGAAACTCCATGAGCCCCAAACAGAATATTTTGAAGAAAACCATGCCTAGGCGCATCATATTCAAACTTGTGGGTACCAATAATAGAGAGGAAATCTTGATATTAGGCAGAGAAAAATGGCACATTACATTTCAGGGAACAAGGCTTTCAATGTGCACTGACTTCTAATCAGAAACTACAAAGGCCAGAAAAAGTGAAACAGTTTTTAAAGTACAGAGGAAGGAAATAACCTGTTAAACATCCAGAAATCTATGTATAGTGAAAATATCCTTTGAGGATAAAAGCAAATTAAAGACATTTTCAGACAAAACTAAGAGAATTCATTGCCAGTAGATCTGCACCACAAAAAATTCTAAAGGAAGGAATTCAGGCTAAAGTGAGATAAAATAGAAGCTTAAATCTTTAGGAAAGAATGAAGACTGTCAGAGATGGTAAATATAAAATTATATTTTTCATCTTAGTATTTTTAAAATACATAGAACCTTTATTTTTAAAATCCTCATGTTTGGGAGGATATGTTTGTTGATTTTAGAGAGAGAGAAAGGGAGCAAGGGAGAGAAACATCAGTGTGAGAGGGAAACGTTGATCACTTGCCTCCCAATATGGTCCCTGAGCAGGAACTGAACTTGCAACCTAGGTATGTGTCCTGACCAGGAAACGAACCCTCAACCCCTTGGTGTATGGAATGATGCTCCAACCAACTCAGGTGACTGGCCAGGGCTATAGAACCTTTTAATGAAAAAATTATAACACCACTTTGTGGTGTTTATAATATACTGTGTATAGATGCAATGCATTGGACATTTCTAGCATAAAAATGATAAATGGACTTCTATACACTTGCAAGGTTTACGCAGTCTAAATAGACTATGAAAGGCCAGGGATATATATTTTTTTCCCTAAAACAACCAGTAAAAGTACAACAGATAAAATAGAATACTAATTTTTTTTTAAATGATCCAAAAAGAATTCAGGAAAAAAGGCATAGAAGACAAGAATACAAAGGAGGCAAACAGGAACCAAATAATAAAATTGTTGTCCTCCATGCAACCATATCAGTAATTATATGACTATAAACTTTAATTGGTACACAGAGTTTATCAGAATTGATTAAATAGAACAACTATATTCTGTTAAGAGACAACCTTTGTATATAAAGATAGAAATCAGTTTAAATTAAATTGACGGAAAAGAAATAGCATGGAAGTAGCATAAGAAGTCTAGAGTGGCTATATTAATATCAGACAGATTAAGCTTTAAGACAAAAAGTATTATGAAAGATAAAGAAGAGCATTTCATAATAACAAAAGGGTCATCCATTAAGATGACATAAGAATTATAAATGAGTATATATATCTGATAAAATTCCAAGTAAGATCACTTTAAGTATTTTGGAGTCCAGAATTTTTTGAGAACTAACTCAACTGTGAGTCAAAAGACATCATTTTAAGCTAATAACCATTTAATAAAATCATCAACTATTTAATAAAATGTGTGGATTCAAAATTCAACACAAATGAAAAAAAAAAGGATAGTTGGAGAGAGT